CTGGTTTTAATGCTACCTGTTTTTCATTGGGAGTGGGGGGAAATACAGCTTTTACAGTTAACCTAGGCTCAGGTGTTAATAGTATTGGTTCTAAATGTTGTCAGATTCTATAAAAAAGTGTGTTTATTATTTGTCAAACAAGATATTTCATTTAAAAATGTTATAACTATTAACGTCAGTGGCCACGATCGAATTGCACCACCAGATTTCCTGTTGCAATATTTCACACTCCCTAGTCTAATCTACCCTCACGTCACACAGATAATCATCAGAGAGTGGAAGGTTTGCTGCTCAGCTGCAATTCAGTTAATAAGGAGGCAGAAACTTCATCATGAATGCATCAAATGTCACTACAGAGGACAGGGTTTACGCTGGGGTCTTTGGCTGCATTATGGTGATAGGTCTGCCTCTCAACGTAGTCGCACTGTGGATTCTTCTTCGCCACCACAGCCTCGAATCGCCCAACGCTGTCTTCATGGTCAGCCTGGCAGTATCAGACCTGCTGGTCATCATCTCTTTGCCCATGAGGATCTACTTTCACGCCACCCGCAGATGGCCTCTGAGCAATAAGGCGTGCCAATTCATCACAATGCTTTTTCGCAACAACCTATGCTCCAGCGCCTTCTTCATTACTTTCATCAGCGTGGACAGACTTCTGGCTGTGGTTTATCCTCTGAGGTCACGCCATCTTCGAACTTCATCCAATGCCTGGAAAGGAGCAGCAGTGGTCTGGCTATTTGTGCTGGTATTGAATGTTCCAGAGACTTTGGACTTTCCAAAAAGTGCCAATGACAGTTGGTGTTTTGATTTCAGTCCTGAAAGGAAACCAGGTTTAACTAAAGGTATAGCATTTGTATATCTTGTGTTAATAGTCACAATGCTAACAGTCAACATTGTGTGCACCGTTATGGTGTCTTGGGTACTGCACAGACATCTCAGTGACTCTGCAAAGGTCAGCAACAAGATGAACGTAATGCTGATATTTGTCATGAACTTGGTTTTGTTTACTATCTGTTTCCTACCTTTGTCAGTAGGTGTAGTTACAGTTAAACCTACTGAATTAAAGCCATTGATATGTCTTAGTGCTGTGAACTGTTGTCTAGATCCATTCTTATATTACTTTTCCTTTGATGGCTTCTGGAAGAAAAAAGAAGATGCGGATCCGACAAGAGAGCAGTGACCTTAGAACATGCTATTTCAACTTATAATTCAAGTCACATTATGGTTTTCCAATTTTCCAAAAAAAAGTGATTTTGTGTAGTATCGTTGCCTCTCTCTATATATATATATATATATATATATATATATATATATATATATATATATATATATATATATATATATATATATATATATATATATGACACCAGAAATATAAAGCATCTTGCAGCGCATGCAAAATGATAGAACAAAAATCGAGAAGACTTTGTTACAAGTTCTACTATGAAATTTGATCCCCTGGCTTTTTATTCCTTAATAACCATTCGTGTCAATTATTTCTAAACTTTGTTAGATCTTATACAACTGTTTGTCTTTTATAAAGGAAGATATTAAATGAAAAAACATCTAAACCATGTGAAAAACAAATTGTTTTATTCTTTTACGTAAGTGATACGACTGTTAGATTGTATCATTACATTTCCTGTTGACTTTTTAACCTCTCCAGTCATCTCACTTGACACAGCTAAAGACCACAGAGATACATGTGTCAGTGTTGTGCTCAGCTGCAGTTTTAATAAAGGGTATGTATATATTTCTTTTATCGCCATGAGCACATTAAACATTCACTATGGCCGCACAGATTTATGCTGGGGCAATCTGATTTTTTCAGACCTGCTGTTGGTCATTATCATCTCTTACTTTCATCTTGCCATAATTCATATCCTAATGAGTAGAGTTGTTAATCACAGCTGGTGTGTCATGTGTTGCATTTGAAAACAGCAAACTTAATTTACGTCAGCAACCACAACCAGAGTTTCCTGTTCCATACTAGCTCCCCTCACGTAGCACAAATGAACAGCACATAAGGACATGTTCACTGCTTGGCTGCAATACTTCATAAAGGACCAAAAAGAACGTCTTTTCTCATCATGAACACATCAAACAGCACCACAGAAGATGAACAGGTTTACGCTGGGGTCTTTGGCTGCGTGATGGTGATAGGTCTACCTCTCAATGCAGTTGCACTGTGGATTCTTCTTCGCCGCCACAGCCTTAAATCACCCCACGCTGTCTTCATGGTCAACCTGGCATTCTCAGACCTGCTACTCATCATCTCTTTGCCCATGAGGATCTACTTTCATGCCACAGGCACCTGGCCTCTGAGCAATATGGCGTGCCTCATCATTACAATGCTCTTTCGCGACAACATCCGTTCCAGCGCTATGTTTATCACCTTCATCAGTGTGGACAGATTGCTGGCTGTGGTTTATCCTCTGAGGTCACGCCATTTAAGAACCTCGTCCAATGCCTGGAAAGGAGCAGCATCCGTCTGGAGTTTTATGCTGGTGGTGAATATCCCAGAGAGTTTGGACTTTCTAGAACATTTGCAGGACCACACTCAACCTACCTGTTTTAAATCTTATGACTCTTACGAGCTTTTATTGAGTAAAACTCGATTAGCAGTTATTTACCTTCAGATTGTGTTATTGGTCACAATGCTAACAGTCAACATTGTTTGCACCATTATGGTGTCTTGGACTCTGCACAGACATCTCAGTGACTCTGCAAAGGTCAGCAACAAGATGAAAGTTATGCTAATCTTTGTCATGAACTTGGTTTTGTTTGCCATGTTCTTACCTGTGCCTATAGGAATGGCTGCACATGGCAAAGAAATCATGCCGCTGGTGTGTCTTACTGTTTCTAACTGCTGTTTGGATCCTCTGCTGTATTACTTTTCTTTTGACTCCTTTTGGAAGAAAAACGAGAACTGTAGATAAAAGACCTCCTATTTCCAAAAGTTGGTATTAGATTTACAATGGGATCTATATTTTCTAAGAGGAACAACGTGTTTGTTCACAAACTTTTCTGTAGTTCAACAATTTGTATGGCTACACCAATAAACCAACATTAACATGTTTGTGAAGCTTTGCGTGTGAGACAGATGGTGAAAAGGCTAGTTGAAGTAGTGGTTTTGTGTTTCATTTAGACCTATGCTGCAGCATGACAGCGTCAACCATCAAAAGAATGGTTGCTGTACTAGAAACTGACGCTTAAAAAAAGACAGCTGCAAAGCTTTTTTTAGTTTACACATTCAAGAGGTTACTACTTGTTGTCAGCTTAAGAACTTCAAGCAATATCCTTTGTTAATTTTTTCACTTTTAGTTTGACTATTTGGATCTATTCATGTGCAAAGTTTAGTGCGCTTCTGTTATTTTTCTCCTAAACCCTTCTCTTGGATGATTTTTCTAAAAAAGAAAACAAAAACAAAACTAACTGCTTGTCTTTTTCAAGTAGTTGAAAAAGACAGTGTGAGAAAAGGGTGTTGATTGAGAGCCTATTTTACATTTTGCTCATTGTTCAGTTGAGGAAGCAGACTGTTTTCATCTGCTAGAGAGCTAAAGAAAAAAAACATCATGGTTTGTCCTCCGGAAGTCACTGCTGCAGTACAAGATACAGTAGGGCACAGGTTACAAACCACATTTTAACAGAAATGTTTCAACTTTTCATTGCAAGGCTTGTTCAATACAACATCGTCTCCTATGCTGCCTTTAGCAGCTTGCAACATCTGCCCGCTGTGGTTTATTCTCTGAGGTCAACTTCAAACCTATTTCTGTGTCTGAAATGGAGCTGCACACGCCTGGCTGATCTTGCTGGTGGGGAAAATCACAGAGGGTGTGAGGTTTCGAAAGCAGTTAAGCAATTTTGAACTTTCTCAGGGCTCTAAGCATCATGAACAGATTCTTGCTGCAACATCAAAGTGTCATAATTTGGCTGTGGAGTGGGCATGGAGTGGACCCACGTACAGGACATATTGCTGATGCTAACCTAAACTGATACTAACTCAGGGAAGTAAGAAATCGGGAACTTATAAACTAAGGAACTACGAGGAAAATGGGGAACACACAAGGCAAATGACACACAGCATTAAGGGACAACATGACAAAGAATTGAGGAGAATTTAGAGCGTAAATACACACGAGGTCGCAAAGCAGAGTGGATTCACCTGGGGAACACAGCTTGGCAGACTCTAACTAGTGTGACAAGGGGAAGCAAAACTAAACATGACACACATGAGACGGGGGACTGTCAAAACAGAACAGGAAACATGATACTGAGACAGAGACAAAGACACAGACGAAAAGATAAACAGACACAGAGACACGACTTACTTGACATAACTAAACAGCGAGACCAGAAAACAACAGAAAGAGATTATAGACAGAGAGACATAGGACACAACTGGGGAACAAACAGAGATCACAAAGAGAACTAACAAAATTATAATAAACAAAAGCTAGAAAAGGCACAAAAACACTAAAGTGTGTGCCTGAGGCAAAAAAAAACCCTAACCCAAAACTACCATCAGAAGACTAAAGACCTAAATATAAATCATTTCTTAAAAGCAAAACAAATCATTAACTCAAAAGAAAAACTCAAAACCGTGGATCCAGGACCTAAGGACCCTGACACAAAGTTTCAAACGCAAAAAAACAAACAATCCAGGCTGTTTTATTCAGTATTCATGCACTAATTAGTACATTCACTAATAATTTAAAACATTTTAGGAAATAAGCTTACTTGAGACAAACATGATGTCTTAAGTTCAAATTTTTATGGCAAATACAAATACAGAAGCATAAATATGGTACAAAAACTGGAATAGGAGAGACACCCATTTAGTATTAAATGTAAAAATGATCTAAATGTTTGGCCCTGTGGGAAACACTTGTTTGTTTTCTTGCAGAACCACAGCATGAGTTGGTTTGTTTTTTTCTACTTGCTGCTAAAAAAACAGAAGAGTCAAACTCAGCACCTTCTTGTTGTGAGGTAACGGTGCTAACCACTGTGTCACCGTACCCCCCCACAAAATATACAAACATTTTTCATATGCAATATGAACTTGACTGTTAATCAGCTTATATCACCATAAATAACCATAGTAAAATTTCCATAATTGATAACCTATTGCAATAAGCCAGCCACAGAGTGCTGACCCACACAGGTGTGCACACGGGCATACGCTGTTCATAGACACAAACTACACCTATCTTGGCTGCTACCTCAAAGCACATTGTGCGCTATCGGTCTTTAGTATTTACTGTTATTCCCATATGGAAAAGAAATAGAAAAAACTTATAAAAGACTTGCATAAGATTTGGCTTACTTCATATAGTGAATCATGTAAAGCTTATATGATTTACTCATGAAAATGGCCACTTTCACATTACTTTCAAATATTGTTTTAGTAAGTATCCAAAACATACAAGTTTCATTTAGATAATTTTTCAAGGGATCTTATATCTGTTTTCACTCTTGTATGCTTTTCATACAAGTTTCATGCAAGACAGATACAAAGTTTATAAGATTTAGATATATCTTTTCCATATGGGTTTACATTTAGCTAGATTAATGCGATGGTGTCGCGTTTATTATGTTGCTCTCTTTTTTGCTTGTTTCCTCTTTTTCTCCTTTTTTTCCTCTCTCAACAGGTGATCCGGGAGATTTTTGTCTTTTTAAGTGCCCTTTCTCACTGTCCCTCTTCTCTGTTTTTCTCCCCCCCCCCCAAAAAAACAAACAAACAAACAAACAAACAAACAAACAAATGCTGAGTCTACAAGAGTTTCTCTGAACTGGTGTTCAGAAGTTAATCTTCTACACAGTGCAAGATGTGACCTTTGTTGATGGGGTGTAAGAGGCTACTGGGATCCCTGGAGGCAGCCTGTTCATTAGTGATGCGTCAGTCGCGAACGGAGCTGGTTCTTTGAAGTGAACGACACCAGCCGTGTTTTTTTTTCTTTTCTTTCTCTCACTCTCTCTCTCGCACTTTTTTTCCGCTTCACTCCGCACGCAAGCCTTGTGTTTTGCGCTGGGAAGAGGGGGGAGGGGCGGTAGTTACACTAGCAGTAGCACAGGAACAGAGCAGGAGGGAGAGACAGAGAAAGAGAGCCAGGAACAACATTAGAAAGGTATAGTAATCATCCACAACTATTTTCAGTTGCAGATGATAAAGGATTCAGGAAGTTTATTCATGCAGGCCCATATGGCAGAGAATATGCATCTTCTTTTCGTTTTCATATTTTAATTTATATTTAATTGTGTTGTGGTTTGCAGTGTTTTGTGTTGTTTCACTTTAAATTTGTTTAAAAGGAAAAAGCTGAAAATTTAAATAGTTAAAAGTTGAAATGTGAATAGTTGGTTTTTGTATTATATGATTTATTTATTACATTTTATGTGGAGTGAATAAATAAAAGTATATTTATGGTGGCCCCTACAGACAAAGCACCTAAAAACTCCAAAACACGTAAAAACTCCAAAACATGTAAAAACTGCAAGCACATACAAACTCCAAAACACGTACAAAAGACAACAGAAGTGCTCCAGGATGCTGGGCGCAGTGTTGAGCTTTTGTTACCTAGTGGCTACACAAGCCAGCAAGTACCAACGACCGGATTTGGTGTGTGGTAGTAACAGGTAACATTTTTTTAAATTATTTGAATATATATGAGTGCTTGTGTATAAATACACAAACAATACACATATGCTTTCAATTGTGTAATTTAAGTGATCTAGGTAGCTCTGTTTTGGAAGTTCAGTTAACACTAGAAATGTGTTTTGGAGTTTGTATGTGCCAAGGTTATTATCGTTAACGAAAACTAACGAAATAACGAAAACTAGAAGTGAAAAAACATTTTCGTTAACGGAAATAAAAATAAAAACAAAAAAAGGAAAACTAACTAAAACTGTAATGAGTGTTCACAAAACTAACTAAAATTAACTGAATTTATAGCAAAAATGTGTTTAGTTTTCATTGATGTGTGCGTGTCCTACAATAGTCAAGGGTGAAAATGAAGTTTAGTTTCCAGATTTTTTTCTTGCTGTCTCATTATGCCAGCAGGTGGCAGTACGTTAGTCGAGTCGTCTGTGTTGCTGCTCCGTCCACGCGCAGAATCATGTCAGGAAAAGTCGGGAGAAAGCGCCAGAGTCCAATTTGGGATTACTTTGAATATGACTGTGTTTTGGATAAAGCAAGTGTCTTGTAGTGGAAAGAGACAAATTATGAGGGACATTTCTAAAGGGAAAAAAATCCCACAAACCTTAAAGTGCACTTGAAAAGCTCACACAAGAAGGCTAACCTAGCTTACCTTGAGAAGGTAAGGGAGCACACTCAACCCTCATCCCCAGAAAACAGAAGCTAACCCCAGGCAAGGCAGCGTGATGCATCCCGATGGCAGCTGGAATCGCAACATACCAAGGCTGGACTGGGACAAAAAATCGGCCCGGGCATTTTGACTAGAGACCGGCCCACCAGGATAAAGATTGAAAATGTGACGTCATTCAGGGGTAAAACCGCAAAGGATTCTGGGAACTTGTGGCAAGAGGTACTAGCGCACGCAGGCTTTCAATTGAACTCAGTTACACAGCGATAAAAAGAAACACAAAAAATGGCAAGAAGCTGTTGTATTATTAACTGCAACAGCCGGTCGCATGACAGCCACGGGAAGCCGATCGTTTTTTTTTTAATCGGATTACGTCGTTGAAGAGAAATGTTTTAAGCCATGTTTCCGAAGTAAGAGCCGACGGATGGTCTGGATATACCAAATATAACGTCCCAGAACACTCCAGCTCACATGTTAGTCTGCTCCAAGCATTCCCACAAAGGTCAGAGTTTTTTAGTAGTTAATACGTCATTTTTCTTAACATAATTGGTGATATAGGTTACAAGCAAGTCTGGCGCTGAACAGAAATTGTCGCGCTATGCTCCTTTATTTATTGTGCATAAATAGTGAATTGTCCTGACACAATATTGCGTTTCGCTTCTGTTATTATGGTACATTGACAAAAACATATACTTTTATTCACAGGATAAAACAGTTGTTTTGTATCACTAATTGTCCAGTACGATTACAGCATACAATATTATTGTCACTGCTACATTTCTGTAATGCGAACCAGAAATTATTTCCACTACTAATTAATTACCGTTGAGCTCAAAGGTTATATTAATAAACGGTTAACGAATGTGTATTTATGACGACGATTTGTGAGACTGGTAAACTTACCTTTGTTCGTACGATGGTCTTTCGTTCTACACGGTGCATTTCAAGGTCCTGTACCCATCCGTCGGTAAACTGTACCTGGGCTTGTTGCAGTGACCTGAAGTTACTAAACTTCATGAGTGTATGCACTCACTCCAAGAACCGTATAATTATAAATCTGAGCGTGGTGAAAGTTGGGCAGCACGCTAACGTCTTTTGTCCACTCTGTGTGCTCGTAAGGGTCTGACCCTTTCACTCCTTTGATTTTTTCCTCGTATCTTTTCTTTGTCTTTTCGTCGAGTCTGTCTTTGTACGGACCGGCATTGTTCTCCTTTTGTTTTGTACATTCCTTTTTTGTGCGGCAAAGAAAAAACAAGAAGGTATTGGAACCGGAGAATGAACGTTTTGCGGTGCTGCAAATGCTTGCATTTGATGCGGTACTTGGATTGTTTTGCCACGAGTTCCCGGCATGCAATGCGCGAAAATCACGTGATTGCTAAACAAGGGGGCGGGTGCATTCGGCCTCCTCGGCTGTAATTGGTCCAGCCCAGAGTCGATCATGACCAATTGGCCAATCCAACACCTTTCATTATATATACCCTTCCTAAAAAAAAAAAAAAATCCATCGGCCCATAAAAACAAAAAATCGCCAGCGGCCCACCGGGCAAATGCCCGGTATGCCCGATGGCCAGTCCAACTATGCAACATACCCAAGGATAAGCAGAAGAGAATGACTGATATGATGAAACTGGGATTTTGTTACACTTAATTATTGCAAACACAACTAAAACTATAACTGAAACTAATCAAAACTAAACTGAAACTAAGGATTTTCAAAAAAATAAAAACTAAACTAAACTAGCAAACAATTGGTAAAAACTAATTAAAACTGATATAAAATTGAAAATCTGAAGTCAAAACTAAATAAAAATAAAAACTAATGAAAATTGCAAAACTATTAAAACCCTGGTATATGCTTTGTCTCTAGGGGCCACCGCATATATTTATATATAAACATATATAAATAAAACCACTTTTTTTTACATTAGTAATTCCTTTTGTGCATAATTTTATATTATTGTTAATAATAAATTAATTAAAGCAACAAAACAACCTGAAGAGCCGGTTCGGAGCCGAAAGAGCCGGCTCTTTTTAGTGAGCCGAGCCGAAAGAGCCGGTTCTCTAAAAAGAGCCGGAAATCCCATCACTACTGTTCATGGTGAGGAAATCTTTTTTGCCTGAGGTTCTTTGTTAGCAGGCCATCAATGGTACTCTTCATAGGCTGCATCCACTGAGAATGCTCGAAAACATGTATTAGACATCCTGCCTGTAAACACACATGAGGGACAGGGGGATAGCTTGGGACTGCAGTTCCGAGAGGCAGCATTTCCAGAGTGTCTGCATGTGACATAAGACTAGCTCCCTGGTCTGACTCCTTGGTCATTGCTTTAACTCTGTGTTAAGCAGGAGATCAAGAACTGTGGGAAGCTTTACTTCAGACTGCTTCATGTTTTCCGATGCAATGGAAATTCCAGCAGTACACCCTAGTCGTGCCCTGCAACTAAGAAAGATCTGTGGAAACACGAGTGCTTCTGGTCCATTTTGCCTGGAAATAGAAGCCCTCGTGCTATCAAACATGTCAATACGCTGAGATTTGTTTTAAACCAGTCATTTTTACAGGCGATCCAAATACCAGTAAGTAGTCCACACTACAAAATACTGGGTTAAAAATGACCCAATTTGTAACCCAACGCTGGATCAAATATGGACCGAGCCAATGCTGGGTTGTTTCAACTTAACAGGGTTGGGTTACTGGTTTGACCCAGCACATTGGGTTAGGATAACTATCCAAAAATTGGATTAAATTGACCAATGTTTAAAGTTGAGGTTACCAAAAATTGAGTCGAAAGTCAGGAAAATCACAAGGGATATATTACCATTAACGTTTGGGTTAAGATTCCTACTTAGTATAAAATTCAGCATATAAAAACTAGATTCAAAACAGATTTTCTCAAAAAAACTTTTTAGTGCCATA